TACCAATTTCCAGCATGAATTACTTGATAAAAGGGTCTGCATTAGATGCAGAGTTCTTGAATAAAGCAGCAATGCTACAGTGGTTAATTACAAAGTTACTTAAAGGAAGAAAATCTGCAGTATTTTATAGTGTATTCGACTTGCAATTAGTTCCTAGCATGGCTAACACAGTATTAGCAAATATAACACATTTCATAGAGGACTGAAGGAAATGCTTTAATGTCTCTAAAAAAAATAGTTTAGGCCAATTCCATATTGACCAGCAATTAGCAAACAGCAATTAGCTTGCTCTCAGTACTTTCCATCAGTGGATTGCAAGTGCAGTATAAAAGGGGCCTCTAATTATGCTTATTTTACTGATGAGGTGAAAGACGCATGGGGAGAAGTAATGCAGTCAGTGATATCTGACAGACTAATTGCAGCCTGAGTGGTATCACTCTGCCCCACTAATCTCAGGCAACACTAATGGCCCTTTCTCAGAGCAATTTTGACATAATTTTCCACATTTCCCTTTTTTTGAGGGGTTTTTTTTCCAAGTGTAATCTAAAGACACTGTATCGGACACATTAACTTTTAATGACAGCCACAGGCAACTGCAATTTCCCTCAGTAAAATAAATGATTAATTAGTAAAACACAGTATGCAATATATGTCCAAAGTGACTTAGTCCTATTGCTAATTGTAGCAATTAGCTAAAACTCCATAGCCTGCATGGTGTTTTGCAGAGCTCCAAAGGAAAAAAAGCATGGGCTGAATAATTTATATTCCAAATTACACAAACATATAGACAAAATATCTTAGTCTTCTAGATAAGCAACCAGTAAGGTCACTTCTGACAGACCCTTAAAAATACCTAAAAGTAGAATTATGCAGCTGATAAACTACATATTTCATAAAGAATACATGGAAAATATGACCTTTCTACAAGCCTAAAGATTTTCTTTTTATTATGGCACTCAGTAAAATTAATCTACAAGCTCAACAACTAAAGTTTGAACAAAACCCCATTATCACTGATGACATGGATTCCTTTCCAATACAACTGTACTTTTCTATTCTGTTTATTTCAGGATAAAGACCTTCTATTGCTAGGCACAAAGCCAAAGCCATACAAGTTTTGCTCATATGTATCTGCCTGAAGTGTTTGACCAAAGATTTTTAAAAAGGCAAAGCCCTTAAATGTCCCCTCCATTAGCCAGACTTCAACACTGCCTAAGCCAGCTATAACTCAAGCCATAAAAAAAGTTAACAGATGGAAACAATTTCATTCTCATCTGGAAGAGTACAGGAAAGCCAACATATTGCTTGGTTAAGAGGCATTATATATTCATTATTGCTGATAGCAATGAGTGAGAAAGAAGCTGTAGTCTAGTTTTCAGAAGCCCATTGGCCAAACACAATCAATTGGTTGCCAGAAATATTTTAAAACACAGCAAGTATAGAACATCAATTGTTCTATACTTTCCCCTTAAAATGGGGGAGAAAAAAAAAGACAGAGAATAACTGAATAAACATTCAGTGAAGAGAGACCTATCTCAAGTCAGAAGGTAAAGAATCAATTTCTTAGGACTGGATAAAGCTCCCAATTTCATCCATCCAACTCCTATTTTCTTGTCTTCTCTTTCAAATGAAAGGAGTTATTACTGACAAAAAGTTCAGTACTTGAAAGACTTTGAGAAAATAAAAAAACCAAAAACCAAACAGTCAAAATAATCATATAAGATCTGGAGAGAAAAGGGAAGCCACAAAATCATGGAAAGGCTGCAAAACAGCTTGCACTGTTCGCTGTGCTGAAGTGGCTTTTATCCAGCTGCCCATTCTGAGTAATATGGGTAATTCTCTGGTAGTACTTTTTCATTAAATTATGCATCCCACAGGCCTTGGTTACACAATTTATCAGAGATTTGTCTGTCAGAAATGGAACATCCATGAGAAAAAGCTGCAGACAAGATTGAGAGAGATCTTACGGAGCACTTGGAAAATCACGGAGTTTCCTCACATGCCAGGGCCCCTCAGACTATCCAGCTTAGTTCAGTGAGGTTCCCAAAACCCTGGGTAACAACCTGCCTTTGAGCCCTGCATGGCCCAACCCATAAAGAATTACTAGTACACATTTTCAAGGCTTTCTCACTGAAAGTGAAATGGTAATTAATTCTCTTAATTGAACGATCATTCATTAGCCTTTTTACTAAATAACATTCTCAATCTTGAAAGTTACTGCCATGTCTTCAATTTCCCTTTTCAAGAAAAGACTAATAACAAGCCTGTATGTCTGCAGCACAGTACAGCATATATTGTGTGCTGTTTTCCCATTCAGATTCTTCAATTACAAGCAACTGCAGCAAAAAAGTATATTTTACTAGCCAGAATTACATTTTGGCAGATCATAATTAAATTATTCCTTAGAAGCAGCGTTCAGTGCTTAAGAAGAAGGATTACATTGAATAACAGGGCTAATATTTTAACTCAATTAGCATGTTATTTTTCAATAAAGAGGTATACACTACCGTAACTCCTTCTTCTGTGGGTAATATCAGCTATGAAACAGAAATAGTGCAACTTTTTTTTTTTTGTGGTAACCCATATAATTTTCCCCATGACATTTGTACATTTTTTATATTTTTTAAGTGGATGAAAACATGTGACATATGATTATTTTTATAAATATATAATCTTATTTTATACTCTTGCAAGTATAGAATATTTCAATTCTATAAAATTGACTATGAGACTATGCTTTTCTACATCTAAAAATGCCTGAGCATTTCACAGTAAGGAAAGAATTTTTCTTTTATGTCTTTTGTCCTGTACTGTTTTGAGTTTGCTTATAATATTGGCTGGGGCAGAAGTGATTCCTGGTTGAAAAAATTACACCTAGTTGCAATGAAAGTAAAAGATCTTCTCCATGGAAACTGTCTGCTAAGTATGCTCAGATGACTTATTTATCAGATTCTTCAACACAATATTTCAATTTTATGGGATTGTATTTTCCTGTAATCTTTCACTAATAATTTAAAAGTGACATAAACATATAAATGTCTGAATATTTGAAGATAATCAAGTTGTGTCATTTAAATATAAATTTCTAACATATTTCAGGGTGATGTCCTTGATTGTTCAAAGCAGCTACTCAGGTTCTATCAAGGTAAACTACAGCACATATGGACATCCTAAAGTAGATTTAGGAAAAAGCCATTTTGATTTCATAGGGCAAGACAGAAAGAAAACTACAGAGACACACTGTGCTATAGCCAGTTAGAGAGATGAAAATTATATAGTACAAAGGAACAAACAAGTAAAAGACTGAATGATTAGGATGAAAAAAATAAGATCAATGAGTTACATAAGGAGGTATTAGTAAGTGGGCATGAAATTCCAGTGAGTCACATGAAATACCTTATGTTCCTTTTGTGGACATCACCTGGTAAATGTTTTTAAAGATGAAGTACTGAAAGGTACAGCATATTTCCAAACAGAAAATAACACTAGATTAGTACACAAGTTTGATGGAACTCTTAACTTAAAACTAAAATTCTTACACTTATCATCATGGTAAGAATGACCTTTTCTGAGCATTACAGAAATATTCACACTAAAAGCAACAGAGAAGGCTGCGTATATCACCACCTGAATGTTAGAACTGCTATGTCATATAATTTCATAAGACTTATTTACTTCCAGATAAAATGAAGTTACAAATCCTTTAAATTCACTCTATATACTCACATTCTATAAAAAAATCAACTAATGGGGAATTAATTATTTAAATTCTGGATTCAGTAACTCAGAAGGGGATTACGGATCCATACAGTACAGATCAAGCTCCTAGTGAAACTGGAAAGCCTGGGGCTTGCCAATGAGCAGAAACCATGCTGTTTAGGAGGAATAATTGCAAACTGCCATGGCTAAACCTTTGACAAATCTTTTCAGATAGGACAACAGTTCAATTAGATACAGATGACGTAGAAATGAGCAGTAAAACCCCCCAATTTATTTTCAGTCTTTCTTATATGAAGCTTCAACAGGATAAATTCTGTTTTCATCTTCAGGAAAAAAGTTAACAATGATGTAGTCACATCTTGGAATGGTTACCCAGAGATGATATGGAGACCCCATTAAGGCACCACAAGTTTAAGTGGACAAGGATTTGAGCAACCTCTCCTGAGTTGGCCTTGCTTTGAGTAGAGAAGGTAGACCTCCAGAGAGCCCTCTGCACAGAAATTATTCTGTAATTATATGAACTACATAGATAGAAACAAACAAACAAAAAAACCACCTTCTTGGAGATCAAAACAAAATGCAAACTGCAATTCTCTAACAATGAAGATGAAAGTTCACAGCATATACCAAAGGCTCCACAGCTGGAAAGTATTAAAAAAAAACCCAAATAATTTCATTTCTCTAAAATTCTAAAGAAAAACAGAAAAGTTTCAAAGCAGTCCATAGGGAAAGCAGGAGAATATGACAGGACGAGACAAACCACGACCCTTGAAATTGTTTGGAGTGGCCCAGGGAACGGCCTAAAAAATCTGATTTCAGCCATCATTTACAAACTCAAGCTGGCTGAGTACTAAGTCTAGTACTGGTACTTAAAAGATGTTTTTTGTTTCCTTCGCATTTCTCCTCTAAATTAATTCCATGTGACTTCATAATGGAAAACAACTGTAGCAAGAAAACTGAAAAGCTCTAAAATGCTGAAAGAAAACAATATAATGTATTTTGACCCAAAGCAGTTGGCCTCCCCTGTCCCCTTTTTAGTAAAAACTCCAAAAAATCTTTACATTCTGGACACCAAGACAGCAGGATCATTTAAATTCTCCTCAAGTATAAACTTTCTGACCTTCACCATGTTGAGGCATGACTATTTATACTTCAGCATCCATTCCATGTATTCAAGACATATTAAAATACATTAAGTCCATAAACTTTACTGACCCTTTTCTGCTGCTTAGTTCATTAATGCCGAAATATATTAATCTAACAAATAAGTGGGTGATTACCTCTTGAAGAACCCTCTTCATTTTCAGAAGCAGTGTCTTGACAGCCGTGCAGTCTTGGAGCATCAGTCTGAAGGGCAGAGACTCAATGCCCCCACCTTCTTCCGGCCCAGGGAAAGGCCACTCCACAGATGGGCTGCCAGCCAGCTGGCTGACACGGGGGTACCTGGCTTCTCCTTGCTCCACCTCCTTCGACAGCTTCAAGGATAGATTCCTTGTGAGAGAAAACACAAAGGTCAACACTAAAATATGAAAAAGAACTAATAATTTGGGGGTGGTACTTCCTCTGAGCTTAAAGACATACATTTGCTTTTCGAGCCCACTACTGTGAACGGCCTTTATAACATACTTGTAGCCATATGGTGCTAGCAATAAAACACACATCTATAAAAGGACCATATTCTACAGGAATTAAAACCATGTTCTAGCTCATGCCCTAAAAAAGAAATTAATTTTCTTAAAACAAAATACCCTATGGGCAAAACTTCTACAGGTCTATTATATTTCAGTTGAGCTTTACAAAAAAATGAATCTGTTATGCACTTTCAGAAGATAAATCAAATCACAATCTTCCATGTGCTTTACATAGAACTCAGAAAGAAAAGAAAACTGAAAAAAAAATAAAATACTCCCTTCTGGGCTGGCCCAGTGACACAAGATGAACCTGCTATTGTATAAAATGGAATATAGAATTTAATTAATCTGCACTCACTCTTAGGTTTAGTTACAACTAAACATATATAAGCAGAACATGAAACAAAAGAACCAGTAAGTTTTGGGTGAGAATCCATTAAAGACACAGAAAGATTTTGATGGACTTTAAAGGTAATGAAAGACCATTATTTTCCTGCTTACACACTATCTTCCTTTAATATCAGAACAAGTAATCTAATCATTTTTCCCATGATGAAGAGAGTCATACTAAATTAACTCAGTACAAATTAAGATGCAAGCATATAAGCAGTGAAGAAAATCACAATTATTATTCATTTAAAATAATGTTCCAGTTTTCTGTTCCATTTGAATTTTTATGCAACACAAAACTGATTCTGCCATAGTTTGGAAGGACAAAGGACATTGTCCCACATAAGATTTTCCTTAGCTTTAGTTTCATAGGATCTACAGACAAAACCAGATTCATGCAATTTCTTAAGACAACTCCCACTATCATACTAAAAAAACTGGAAATTAGGATACTATATCTTTTATGGATGGTTCATTTTTATATTTTGAAAGCTATGTAATATGCAGTAAAAAAAAATATGTTTGATCAAGCAATGTACCACAGAGATCACACACACAGACAGATCCTCATGTTGGCCAACGGAACTAAAATTTCAGGCTCTTCAAGACTCATAAAACAACAAAAATTAGTCTGTTTTAATTTTAAAATTCACTGAAACATCTTTGAGTGGAATATCTTGTATCCTTTAAAATAAAAAAATGAGGTGGATTGTAAAGTTGCTTTTGATTGAAGGATATTAAACCACTGCTGTTTTATAGCCTTTAAACCAGACCCAGATGTAAATCACACAAAGAAAAAACAACTTATGAAACTGAAGTATCATAACATAGACCACTTTTAAAGGTTTATAAAAGAAGCCTATTCAAACTATTGGAATCTACACTTGGATAAGATATATGTATCCAGAAAAGCACATTATTTAAATTAAGATGAAACAACAAGGTTCTCCTTCTTCCCCACCCAGCACCTGCAGACTAGAAAATGGATTATTCCTTATAATATTCTGTACATTCACCTCGTAAGTCCCACTGCAGTTTCCTCATATTCCACTACAGGCATTCTATGTCCCATCCTAGCCCTGAGAAAGGATCAATTTAACATGTACTGTCTCCCAGGAGGAGCCTTTTACTGCCCATCATCAGAGAGAAGACCCTGGTATCACCAGCCGTGCCCTGGTCTCCTTTTAGGAGAAAATAAGTGGTATTCTTGGAAAACTATCCTCCCTTCTGGAAGAGATACATTGTTTATGTATATAGATGTATATACATATATCTATATAGCTATAGATGTACTGGAAATATAGCAATTCTGAATTTCAAACAAAGACAATATTTTCAGTTACTTCAGTGGGTTTCACATTGCTACCACACTGCTCAACACACAAAACTACCATCTTTTCAAACACAGAATCTTGCACCAAAGTATGAAGAGCACTGTAATAACATATTTTTACCACTCACAGTCTTAAGAGTTTAAAATCTGACTCAACTGTTTCTTGAAAATGGTGACTCAGAGTTTGATGGTACACAGAGACCATTCAGATTAAACAGCCCTTTCTGGTAGTTCAGAGGTACTTGAACTGATCTGTGACAGAAAAACTCTCTGATACAACTCATTCTACTTGCTGCAGAAAAAAAACAAGCTCATTTAAGCTTCATTCCAGAAAAGGTATTCCATCAAGTTCACTATTAACAGAATCTAGGGGGTCTGTTATATAATTATTACAGTAATCCACTGCAGTTCATCTCAAAGCAGCAACAGACATTTAGAAAGGGAAAAAAAACCACAAAACAACCCAATTCTTCCTAAATTAGAAGTTTCACTTTATTAGTAAGGCATCTCAGCCTCTGAAGTTGGAGTAGGGCTGGTTCCTTGACTGGTAGTGCAGGAGCTCCTTACAGATGGCCAGACACCTCGACCTTCCTAACATGCATTTATTTTCATAAAAACACTTCACTGCCAAATATTATCTATGACAAACTTGTTAAGCCCTTGGAAAAAAGCCTCAAAAGGTCTATTTTAATGACCAAAGCAATGTATTTCCTGTAAGTAACTACATAATAATATCATCAACATAGAGTATTTCAGAAAGGCAATTTGGCCACTTTTAAATACATGGCTATGGCCAGAGCTCCAAAGTCACCTCCCATATGCTCAGGCTAAGTTCCTACTTGAACAAAACTACACCTGAAAATGTTCTGAGCACTGGAAGTCAGTTTCAAAACACTTCTGAAATGGCTCAAACCCACCCCGTTACCACTCTTCCCAGTGATTCCCTGGCATGGTTTGGTTGCCACTACAGGTAAACTGGATGGTTCCATTCCATTCTGGAGGATGTCAGTGGTGCAGATGTGCACTGAAGTACCATCCCATAGTGAGGTCACCTCAAATCCCTGAGCACTGCAATGGAGCCGTGAATGATAACAGAGAAAAGGACACAACTTTAGTAGAATTACTGCCACCATAAGGTCAGAAAATCCACAGAAACCATGTTACAACTCTGTAAATATTAAATACAGTGAAAACTTGTGCAACTCAACAGTACTTCGTACTTTGGTCCTGCTGGCTTGTTTCTTATATATCTGGACATATCCACTGAGCACCACAAATCTACTCCCTCATTTCTAATTGATACAAAGAATTAGAAGCTACAATATCCAGAGTCAGTAAAATGGTAATGCCATTAAGGCAGATTTCTATTTCAAAAGCAGTCTTTATTGAAATAGTATGCTAGCATTAAAATAATCAATCAGTGGCTTTCAGCATTTAATAGCCTCCATCAATCCAACGTAACCACATGTTAACTGAGTAAGAGACACAGTTGTGCAGATCCTTTGAAATCTCCTTTTCCCTAGGAAGTTAGAACAAAACTGATTTTCCCTTACTAAAGAATTCTTATAGTGTTTTATAAAAAAAAAAAAGGAAAAAAGGGAAAGGAGAGGAAAAAGGAAAGGAAAAAAGAAAAGAAAAAGAAAGGGGTCCCAAAGACATGAATTTGCAGCTTGAGCTTGTTTAAGTCATTCTTCCCTTCTTACTGATCCTCAGATCAATGATTTGAAGAGCTTATGGTAATTTGAACTTCACTTACATAAAGATCCCCAGATTATGTGGACTTTAATCTTCTTAGTTTTCATCAGCAGTGCTCAAGATGTTGCTAAATCAGAATTAGCCTAAACTAATACAATTGGTTCCCCTGAGTCTGCATCTCTTGATATCAGCTTAACAGAGGAGAACCCATGTAACACTGTTGGCATCAGGAAGGCTCTGAAAGCCAAGCAAAAGACCCCAGACTCTATCAGAAGAGCTGAACACACTTTCTTTCTTCCCTCAGGGCTTATCTTCTAAAGCAGGGTCTTAGAAAAAGCCTTAAATCTCTCATTGGCAGTGTTTAAGTGTGCAGCTGTGTGTGTAAATATTCATAAATAAAGATACCATGTATATACACACACATGTATTTTTTATAGCTCTGTGTGTATATGTATACCTGTAGTTGTATAAGTCATACATATACTTTTATATAAACACATAAAAATTTGGTCTTGGTAAATTCTCCAAAAAAACAAGTAGCTCTTATTAGTCCTTAGCTTGGCCCATACTTTTACAGTAGAAGAAATATGTTTTTAGTTTCCTACAGAGGTTATGTCCTGAAATCCTATTTCATATTAATCTAGAAAGCCTTCAATCCATATTTCTCTCATCCAGAATTTTCTTTTTCCTAACAGTAAATAGGCTTTCCTCCTTCAGAGAATTAACTAGTTACTATTTTGATAAATATCCCTCAGCTGGACCATATAAGACATGTAAGAACAATTGCTTCTGCTTTTTAGATGAAAAGTTGCCTACCTCAAATACTTCCAAAATTCAGTTTGAAGCACTCTGTAGCTTTCCTAAAATGAAGTACATTACCTGTGAAAACCTACTTTAATCCCATACTGAATCTTAATTTCTTAGTAATCTCCTACTAAAATCATCTAGTAAAGAGACATGTTCTATCCCAAACAGTTTCTACTGAAATACAGGGACGTATTTTGGAAAAAAAACAAAGGCCCCTCATCACATTTAGCAGAATTAAGGCAAAGACTTTAAAAAGCATGTTCCTAAATATTACAATGAATGTATAAAATAATGTCCTGCTTGGTGCCTGAATGTTCTCAACATGTAGTCAGGGAGGATTAAAAAAAATTGGCAAAATCCTCACTCAGTTCTGAAAACAGAGTCTTTGCAATAGTAAGATAAAAAGCTAACCAGAACTTAAACACTTGGCTAATTACCTGTATTAGCTTTCTTTGGCACCAAAATTTCTACCTCTCTGTCTCACACAATTTCTCAAAATTGCTTCTGTTCTAACAGAAACTGCTTCAGAAATTGTAGGGATAAGATCTTGGAATCTTGTACATCAATGTGTCATAAGGTACATGTTGTTTGACATTTTACAGCTTTTAGAGCTGTGGATCCTCTGTTGATGCTAT